TATAGTGTGTAAAGTATTTCTTTTCTCTCCTTATCCAAGTAAATGGAACGAAGATACTCACTTCTACTGCATCACGCAGATACTTGTACACATAGCTATTCCTCAAGGCAAAAGAAAATAGGGAGCACAAGTAGCATGCAGTATGATTATTATTCAGTAATAGAGTTCATTTTCTTCAAAATATTCCCCCTATTTAAAAGCTATTTAAGCACACATCAAGGCAATTAATGGCTTTATGCCATCTGTATGTCATGGCACACAGTAAAAAACTAAAGAACTAAAGTTTAGAACTAAAGTATACCCTCCCAGTGGTGGTTAAAACAATTTTTGATTATGGCTACTTTTGTTATGATAGGAGACATAGATTTTGTTATGATAGGAGACAGATTTTGAAATTACCAATCAACTCAAATAATGGGAGGGAAAAACATTTAGGTGCTAAAAACTTTTATTTAATCTGCCCTGTGCTTTCAGGTAATGACTCATAGATCGTTGATCAAGGAATTGATTTCCTAAGTGAGTTGGTGTTTAGGAAGATATATCATATTTATTGCTTTATAGAGGTTAGATTTGCTTGAATTTATTGATATCTGAGTTATTTTCTAAATGTTTGACCACTAAAAGTAATGGGTATCTGCAAGATATTACTGAAATAAAGACACAGCTCAGCAAAGCCTTTATTTGACTTTTTAAAGGAGAAAAATATTGAAAACCGTGGCACAGATGATAATCCTTTAAGAAAATGTTACAGAGTAAGCAGTTATAAAAGGAATTGAGGCCTGAAAATTACTTCATAGGATATAATGTTTTAAAATATTTCTAAACTATTTCAGGAGGCTCTAGAAAACATCTCTCTCCCCCCAACAAAACCTTTTGAAACTGTTTTGTGAGATTAATCATCCATAGATTTCTTTTCTTTTCTTCTTTTCCTGTATCTAAATCTCTAATATGGAGAGTAGGGCTAGTTTTCGGTTGTGGGTTTTTTTTTTTTTATATACAAATGAGGTCTCACTATGTTGTTCACCCAGGTCTTAAACTCCTAAACTCGAGCTATCCTCCTGCCTCAGCCTTCCAAAGTGCTGGGATTACAGGTGTGAGCCACCACACCTGCATAGATTTCTTAAGACACTCCCTCATGTCATCATTCTTGCTAGATTCTAAATTATAGAGCTTGTTGGCTTCAGATTTATTTATTTTTTTATTCTTTTTTTTTTTCTTAATTGGTAAAGCAAATAAAACCAGTATTGGAGATCTCAGCAAGAGACAGGGACTCATCAGAATCACTTGTGTTTCTGCCATAGTCTTTTCATTTTCCCCTTCAAACACACTAACACACTTGAGCAGTACTTTAGGAAAAGTATACATCATAAGCAGAACTTCAGCAAGTTCATTAGGCTGGTACCATTCTGTCTGGTGATCTCACTCTTCTGATGCTAGCACAGTGGAGGATAAAGCACTTTCCCTCACTGTGGCGCACAGCAGGTGATGGGCACAGGCAAGCATCCAATAAGGTGCTTTCTTACACACTTGTAATTTTGGGGCCCAAGGTATTGTGGGAATGCTAGAGATACCAGGAGATTAAAATACAGTGTCAATTCTAGCATGTGTAAAATATCACCAGACTTGATACTAAATCGGAAATGCTCAGCCTGTATTCTGGATTTTATATGTATTTCAAATTTTCATAAATTAATTTGTAGTTTTGAATCTTCTTGTCAGTTTTCCAGAAATTTTATATAGCCATGAAGTAGGTTGTATTATTATGCTCTTTTATCAGCTGACTTATGTATTAATAATATATTCTGTGATTTTTAGGAGGAAACACAATTATTACTAGAAAACCTGCATGTTTATCATATGAATTACTTCCTGGTTTTGAGATGTCTTCATAAGTTCACCTCTTCTCTTCCCAAGTATCCACTAGGTCGACAGGTAATCCAAGCCACCTCATTTGGAATCTATGAAGTAGGAATGTTAGTATTTTCTTGCTTTGGTTTTTGTAGCATTCAGGCATCAGAATGTGAAATGAAGCCAATCTTTACAATGAGAGCATAATCTAAATCCATTCCAGCTGTACACATTACTGGTAATTGAAATTGTTTTTTGTTCAGATGGCCACAGCTAGAAACAGCCATATGAATCCCAGTGGTGTTGCTTCCCCTACAAATGTTTTTGTACTAAGGCATTTGAACTTTCCTTCTTTAATACTTCCTTATCACCTATACTGAGAGAGCTGTTTCTCTTTCCTTAATGGAAGAAGGAATTTGTTTGAGAATGCTTGATAGTTAACCTTGCACTATACTCAGAATAAAAAGAGAAGCAGTACTTCTGTTCCTTGAAAAATTATGCTCAGCTGGCCTTTATGTCATACCATAAACCTATCAACCATCTGTAGAGTAGATTTTAGCGGAGGAATTCTATATTCCTAGGTCATCTTAGCTCAAAGCTTTGGAGAACAAATACCAGGATGTAAGAATGACTTGTTGGCTGGGTGCAGTGACTCATGCCTGTAATCCCAGCACTTTGAGAAGCCAAGGCAGTTGCATCACATGAGGTCAGCAGTTCAAGACCAGCCTGGCCAACATGGTAAAACCCTGTCTCTACTAAAAACACAAAAATTAGCCCGGTGTGGTGGCACACGCCTGTAGTCCCAGCTGCGAGGGAGGCTGAGGCAGGAGAATGGCTTGAACCTGGGAGGTGGAGGTTGCATTGAGCTGAGATCACTGCACTCCAGCCTGGATGACAGAGTAGACTCCATCTTAAAAAAAAAAAAAAAAAATAGAATGACTTGTTCATGAGGTGATTTTTGCCATTGAGCCTTAAATGAGCCTTTTTTTTTTTCTCATTTTTCCTTTATCGGTTTCTTCTTTTAAAATGACCAGTGATATCAGCCAATCTCAGTATAGTCTCATTTTACTTTTATGTAAATTGCATTCTTATAAAGCCTGATCCATGAGATATATGCCAAGTCTATTATTATCTAAAGAAAATGACTTTTAATAACATTAATTTTTTTGTGTTGACCAGAAATGATTTTGCCAGACTAGTAGTGTGTATACGCTTTTGGTTCCTCACAAATGTGTTGTTCACTTACAGATCAGAGAGTTGTACTGCACATGTTTAGAAAAGAACATATGGGATTCAGAGGAGTATGCATCAGTCTTGCAGCTGCTGAGGTAGTTTTGTTTTTTCTTGTTTTTCTGTTTTTGTCTGCTATAAGCCTGCCAGTAAGTAGCACCTTCCCCTAGAACCCTGCCTGCCAAAAAGTTTCATAAATAGCCATGTTGTGTCTAAGAATAATTGCATATATCTTGAATTTATCCATGTAGCTTATGATGTTTTTAATATAGCAACTCTCCATTTCTTTGCTGGTTTAACCTTGCATTTGAGCTTGTGGTTTTTAAAGGAAAATCCATGATTGTTTAGTCAAATACTGACACTACCCTATGAGAGCTCAGCTATGGATCATTTGAATCCAGCCAACTTGACATCATGGCAGGGAAAACAAGTCATTCATGAAAAGTGAGGTCACCATGTCCCCAATCTGGTTGAGTGGAGGAAGAGCATCACTGGGTGATATGTACCCAGTGGTCACAGCTGACCTTGATTAGGAACAGCAAGGAGTAGGCAGTGGCCTTGGTGCCTTCCCCCACCTTAACATTGGCTAATTCATAAATTATTTATCTAATAATATACAAGTAAATAAGATATCTTAGTGTTAAAGTTATTATTTATATTACTTGATTTCACTTCTTATATGTATAGTTACTTTTTAGTCTTCCATAAAAATAATGACACTTGGATAGTGATAAGGGGAAATCAAATGTGAGCTAAGTTTCGCCAGTTTTATAATTTTCCTCAGAGGTTGTAAATGCTTATATAAAAATATTTTAAAGAAGTCTGAAAAGTGAATATTTATTAAGTCTTGCTTTCCTCTGGGCCCACAAGAAAAGAACAGATGGGCACAGTAGGAGGAAAATTCACACTGAAAGCACTTTAAATCCAGAGACTTCATAATACAAATATTAGTAATCTAGCAGGTGCAGCTTAAGATAGAAAATGAATTTCATGCTATCTGGAAAAATATCTCCCCATGGAAACTAGATTACCTCTGAAAAGCTGTGTTTTATTTCATTTTTTAAAATCCCAATAAGATTTATTTTTTCTTATTTTTTTAACCCATAAGGAAACTAAACATTCCCAATAAGATTTCTATGTATTTATAAGCTTATGTTAACTAGAGTATTTCTGAGACTTATTTTGCTTTCTATTCAAGTAAATATACCTATCTTATACACCCAGTTGAATCTTCCAGGGTTTTCTCTTTTAAGCTTTGAGATTAGTAATTGTCTTCCTTCTCCAGTGAGATGTTCCCAAATTCATAGATTCTTTTGTCAAGGAGGAACTTGTTCTTTTTGTTCTGAACCTCCCAACACCAGTTGTCTTAGGGTACAGTCAAGAACCAAGAATGCCAGTTCCAAAGTAGGGTAAGGAAACATGAGTGGCAGTAGTAATGGTGACAGCAGTAACCATCGCTTATTGAAGGCTTGCTGTGTGCAAGGCACTTTGTTAGGCACTCTCAGTACATTTTCCAATCTAAAACTCTTAATATACCTTTATGGTAGATATTATTAGTCACACTTTACCCCTGAGGAATCTGAAACACACACAGGCATTAAGTGACTTGCCTGAGACCACCTAGCTGCTGAGGGAACCAGGATTCTACTCCAGGTCTTACTTCAAAGCTGTTATACCTTCTGCTATTCTTTGCTAAGATCTAAAATACAGATTTGGAGATCTGAGTACAGCAGAAGCAAAAAATAGAAAGTGAGATTTCATTTTGCTAAGCTGAGGTCAGAAACATGGGCAGTCAAAAGCAAAGCAATGTAAAAAGCACTACGGGTCAAATATAATACCTACAGCAAGGACAGGCAGGAGTCTGGGTCCTAGAAAAGAGGAAAGGAATCAGGGAACCTCTGGGCTGGAATCAGCCTTTTCTCCTTTGTACAGATTTGATGTAGACCAGAAGTCGGGGACACTTTTTAGTTAAGGCATACTCAGTAGGCATCACCTAAACTTAACGAGACCATTCTCATCACCTGTCTTGAAACTTTATTTAACTCATTACAGAAAAGACTAAAATGATCCCTGAATGAAGCTTTGGAAAGAATAACTGGTAAGGTACTATTAGAAACATAATCTAATTAAATTTCTTACTTGAAATTTTTTATAAGATTCAGCTTAAATGATTTTTCAAGAAAAAATCCTTTTTACAGATTGAGCATCTGTAATCTGAAAATCTGAAATTCAAAGTCCTCTAAAATTTGAAACACTTCAAATTTCAAAACTTTATGAGCACTTGTGATACCACAAGTGGAAAATTCCACATCTGACCTCATGAAATGGGTTGCAGCAAAACAGAGGCACACCACACAGTTTATTCAGCTTGCCATCATTTGTTGCTGTTGTTTAACACTGATACAGGTATTACTTAGTTACACTGAACACATTATTTTTTCACTGTACCAATGGTGTGTCCTGTTTTTTAAGTGTTAAGTACTTAATATGTGAATAAGTGTAAGAAAATGGTTGCATATGAATTCAAGAGTCAATAATGATGGGATACCAAACAACTACAGATTGATTGTCCATCTAGTTGGCCGAGATAGTGACACCTTTGCTTTCTGATGATTCAGTGTACCTTGTTTCATGCACAAAATTATTTAAATTATTGTATGAAATTTCTTTCAGGCTATGTGTACAAGATGTATTTGAAACATAAATGAATTTTGTGTTTAGACATGCATCCAATTCTCAAGATAATCTCATTATGCACATATAGCAAATATTCCAAAATCTGAAAAAATCCAAAATGTAGAACGCTTCTGTTCCCAAGCATTTCACATAGGGATACTCAGTCTGTATGTGGAAGCTGACACGTTTAAATAATCTTAGATCAGATGATATCCAGCCCATTCAGAGTAGTATGGCTGTAGACATCCCTTTACCCCTAATTCTTCTGCTTTGTTTGGGAAGAACATGGAAGAAAAGGTGACTTCTGCCCCCGCTGCTCTTACCCCCACCATAGTGGCCTTTGGCGACGCCTCCTACCTTCCCCCAACAACTCTCTTGCGTGTTAGAGAGAAGGGGCTCTCCCAGCACAGAGTTGCATTCCTCCCCCCAGTTTATTCTAATTTATTAATTTAGTCCCACCCCTTCTGAGCCTACAGCCTGAGGACTGCAGAGTAGCTGCCCCAGCCCCTCCCAGGTCTGACCCAGCCTGGGGAGTGGGACAAGGCTTGGGTGTGGCCCTGTTGGAGGTTGATCTTGCTGTTTTTATTTCTTGCCTTTATGTTTGTGTTCTGTGATATTGTTGAGAAAGAAGAGGCCAGGCACAGTGGCTTATGACTGTAATCCCAACACTTTGGGAGGCTGAGGTGGGCAGATCACTTGAGCTCAGGAGTTTGAGACCAGCCTGGGTAACGTGGTGAAACCCCCACTCTGCCAAAAATACAAAAAAAAAATTAGCCTGGCATGGTGGTGCACATCTGTGGTCCCGTCCTCGGAGGCTGAAGTGGGAGGATCACTTGAGCCTGGGAGGCAAAGGTTGCCTTGAGCTGAGATCGCACCACTTCACTGGGGCCTGGGTGACAAAATATACATATAAAAAAAAATGTATATTTTTGAGCCTGGGTCTCAAAAATATACATATAAAAGAAAGAGAAAAAAAAAAAGAAATGTGGGCAAAGCAGAAGGAGGTGGATTCAAACCCCAGTATGTCACGGCTCATGCCTTTTCTTTAGTGGTGGGAGACCCTTATCTTGTAAAGGGAATGTGTCCCCTTTCTCAACCTCTAGTGTATTTCACAGAAAACAAAACCTCCCAATAAAACTGTTGAAACCTGGAAAATAAAACAAACAATATGTCCTCTACTTGATGAAATATCTGGTGACCATTTAAAAAATATTTACAGCGACTCTGTAATAATGTGGGAGAATGTTTATGTCACATATTTATTAGTGGAAAAAGACCAACATAATTTTATATCACAGTTATTTTTTAAATGTATGCAACAGACATTGATGTGTGTGGGGAGCATGCAAGTGTGCATTTATAATATATGCCATAATTGGACATGAGCACAGTGGTTCTGCGTGTGTTCTGCCTTTCCTTGCTCAGTCAACTCTTGGAGTATGAAGACCACATCCCTATATGGGATATGAGCGGGTTAATTTTTCACTCAACCCTGTGTCATTATGTTTCCATTAAAAAGCCATTTGGGAACAGAAAGTAGTAACAAATGATGCTAACCCAGCAGTGAACTAGGTAAGTACAACTGTTTTTCATTATCAGATGTGAAAGACTGTAAGAGGAAAATTGTACCCCTCTATTAGAATTTCTAAACACCCATCTAGAAATCAAACACTAGGCCAGTAATTTTTCATATTTTTAAAATTCACAGAACCTTGCATAAATAAGGTTTTAAGGATTATCGTAAATCAGAGCCAGCTGGGCACAGTGGCTCACGCCTGTAATCCCAGTGCTTTGGGAGGCCAAGGTGGGGCAGATCACGAGATCAGGAGATCGGGAGTTCGAGACCAGCCTGACCAACATGGTGAAACCCCGTCTCTACTAAAAATACAAAAAATTAGCCAGGCGTGGTAACAGGCACCTGTAATCCTAGCTACTCGGGAGGCTGAGGCAGGAGAATCGCTTAAAGTTAGGAGGCAGAGGTTGCAGTGAGCTGAGACCTTGCCATTGCACTCCAGCCTGGGCAACCAAGCGAGACTCCATCTCAAAAAAAAAAAAAAAAAGTCAGAGCCTCAACTTAAAGGAGTATGTTGGATCAGCCAGCGCTGAAGAGTACTACACTCTTATACCAGTAGCAGTGGATTATTGAATTGGGGATAATGAAAAGTGTGCCCCATGTCTTAGGGGAATTTATGTCCCCTACCTCATCAATTGAGAATTACTCATCTACAGTTATTCCATTTTCTTTCAAATAAGGAAACCAAGGCCAGAAACATTGACTTTTGTACAGTTGACAGAGCTGAAACTCTTTCAACCATATTCCGGTTACTTAGAGGTGATAATAAAAAGAAATTTATGGTTCTGTGGCCAGTAGTCCATGTTCAGAGTGTATCCAAAATTTTAAACCAGCAGAGCAAGCTTCTGT